GAGCTGAGGTGGGAGATACGTGTTGAATGGTAGGAGTTTCTGGATAAAAATTGAGAAACTGTATTTAAAAGTGCTTTTTAATTTTTTAAAATTTTAAAACTTTTTTTAAATTGTAGTTGGACATTATACCTTTATTTTATTTAATTTTTTTTTTTTATGTGGTGCTGAGGATTGAACCCAGAGCCTTACACATGCTGGTCAAGCGCTCTACCGCTGAGCCACTCCTAGCCCCTAAATGTGCTTTTTAAATGTATGTTTAAAATCCCAACAATTTATAGCTRTGATCTTATAGCCAAGTTAGAATGAAACTCCTTTCAATTTGATTTCCTATATTATGTTGTAAAGTTAGCATTCCCACATTCCTTTTCTTTAGCAACTTTTGGGGGCATTTGAAACATTTTAAAGGCATATAAACAATCAGTCAGTTATTTATCTTTTGGTACACAACTTGAACCCTGATATGATCATATATATATATATATATGATAGATAATTAAAGATAACATAGACCTAAACAAACAATAGAGTAAAAAGATATTAGAGAATCTGTCACCAGAAGGTCCTCAGAGGACCTGCATGGCAGTTGATCAGTCCTGGAGCCACTGAAGTCCCATAGGACCCCAGGCCAAAAGTGCACAGTGTAACATTTCCCCTAAGTAAACAGAGATGCAGTCGAGGGCCCTGTGGCAGCTGATTGGGAATCCTGTGGTTATTGTGATGTACTTGACCTTCTGCCGCAAATTCTGATCTCATGGAGGTGCACATGGAGGTGAGTCTATGGGGAAAACACCTATAGTACCAGGAAGTAACAGTTAGGAAGAAAGAAGATGTGTAGAGACTACTGCTAGAGAACATGGGCCCCAGAGGCCCACATATTTCAAGGCTTGGTGTTCACCTTGGCATGGTTGCAAAGAGGTAGGAACTTTTAAGAGGTGGAGCCTAATTGGAGACATTAGATCATTGGGGGCATGTTCTTGAAGGGAATTATGTGACAGTGGGCTCTTTCTTTCTCCTGTTCATTCCTGGTCATGAGGTGAATGAGTTGTTCCACCAGACACTTCGTTGATGGGCTGCTTCACCACAGGCCTAAAGCAATGGAGCTAGTCAGTTATGGAACCAAATATGCTTTTTCTCTGTATAAGTTGGTTTATCTCAGAAATTTGTTGCAGTAACAGAAAGCTGACTAAAATAGCCAGGATTGGTAAAGAAACAAACCTATATTCTAACGTGTGTGAGTTTGAGGATTCTGAATATTTTAATGTACAGGCATCTGTATACTAAAAGTAACCACTTTAAGGTTGTTGGTTTAAAATGAGTTACTTAGGTTTTTAAAAATTATTATTTATATGACATTGTTCCTATCT